ATTATGCAGCAACCTGTGCACGGGCGAGCAAGTGCCGTGCCACCCCTGGGCTGGTGGCTCCAGCTGCCTGTCACACAGGGTCCTTGGCCTGATAGCCACACGCGTGTGTGAAGAGACCTGACATGCTCCTGACCCTGAGGCAGGACATAGCAAGATGCCCTTCTTTCACAAGCTCCTTCTTATATCTCCCCCCACCTCACCCACACTATACACAGCACAGCGCCATGGGTGCACTCTCGGGGCAGCTCCCTCGCCCGGGAATAGCCAGACATTCCAACCATGGCCATCGGCTCTGACGGTGCAGGACACGGTCATCCTCACCTCACAGAGGTGGGCTGGGCTTCATCTACTGTGTCCCCAGGGATAACTGACTACTTCTCTTCTTTCTCCACAGCCGCAACAGCTGCACGTGCAGGGTGCACCAACCTCTGGGCTGGTGGCTCCAGCTGCCTGTCACACAGGGTCCTTGGCCTGATAGCCACACGCGTGTGTGAAGAGACCTGACATGCTCCTGACCCTGAGGCAGGACATAGCAAGATGCCCTTCTTTCACAAGCTCCTTCTTATATCTCCCCCCACCTCACCCACACTATACACAGCACAGCGCCATGGGTGCACTCTCGGGGCAGCTCCCTCGCCCGGGAATAGCCAGACATTCCAACCATGGCCATCGGCTCTGACGGTGCAGGACACGGTCATCCTCACCTCACAGAGGTGGGCTGGGCTTCATCTACTGTGTCCCCAGGGATAACTGACTACTTCTCTTCTTTCTCCACAGCCGCAACAGCTGCACGTGCAGGGTGCACCAACCTGCCCAGGACATGCTCCCGCACCCGAGGGCTCCACAGGACAACCACAACATGGCAGGGGTACCAAGAGCAGCACCTGGGGGCCCTGCGAGCCCTGACCTGCATCGTGGAGCAGCGGGCACAGGAAGAACAGGCGTTCTGGAGGAAGCTGCTTGCCCAAGGTCGTGCTATCTGTACCCATCTGCAGACTCTGGTACAGAGTGTGCTGCCTCAGACCACTCCAGCACCTGCTGCCCCCCCAGCTACCGTTCCTCCTCCCACTTCTTCTCCCCCTACCGCCTCTCCCTCCTCAACTGCCTCCTCAATCTCCACACACCCCCCACCTCAACCTCCACACCTTGCTTCCCAGCCCTCCGGGGACGCCGAGGCCCCCACACCCGCTGTGCTGGGAAACATGTGGTCTGATGAGACCCCCACCTCTGAGCGCTGAGCTTCCCCTCTCCCTTCCTCCCCTTGCTTCCCTCTTCCAGCTCCCTCCTCCCAGTTTTTCCCCTCCCCTCTCCCACCCTCTTTCCTCCCATCTCCTTTCCCCAGTCTCCCCAGAGGGTCATCCGCCCACCCCCTCCGCACTGTTTTGTTAAATAAAGCGTTTCTATTTTTGAAAAAAAGTGTATTTTATTTGACATCAGGAAGGGGGGGCTAGGGAGGGGTAAGTGGAAGGACATGAGGGAGGAATGGGGCACAAGCACCCAGTGGGGCAGACCAGGGAAACTATTCGTGCTCCTCGGGGCGGAAGCTCTCTCGCAGGGCCCCCTAGATACTGACAGCCTCCCGATGGATCTCCCAGATGGCAGCCTGCAGCAAGTGCAGCCAGACTGGTAGCAACGCGTCCACAAGATGCACCAGAGTGCCCAGGGGCAGCTCTGGCTCCCTGTGGCAGAGTGCTGTGGTGTCCCGAGAGAGGGCAAGCAGAACACACAGAGACACAAATGCTTTGCTGTCCCTCATTGAAGCCCTGCCGGAACTGGTTCCTGCCAGCCTTAACTCTGATTCAGAGTCCATTCAGGGTGGACGCGCTATTTCGAAATAGGAAAATGCTAATTCAAACTGCATTTTGTGTGTAGATGCATTAATTCAAATTAACTTAATATGAATTAACTATATTGAATTAAGATAACTCAAATTAATGCTGTAGTGTAGACATACCCTTAGAGCACATTTTTGTGAAGTGTATGACTAGTATTATCAACAAATGGATAAGAGGTATGTTTGCCATCTGTAACTGGGAGTAACCCAGCTGTCAATCTAGTGCCTACACAAATCACTAATAAAGCAAAAAACCATTTCCTCTGCACACAAGCCAAAAATACTATTCATTCCCTGTACAATGCAAATATTTAACTATTCTTGCAACCCTCAAACATGTGCATATGTGAATAAAGGTTTGTAAGACCTGACCCAAAGATTTTATAACCGTGTTCATTTCTAATTTCATATTTAGAAATCTTGCATACCTATGTACAAACTGGACACTGCCAAAACATACATAAGCAATTGTTGTAATATACGGTAATAAAATATTTCCTACAAGATGTGCATTATAGGTTTAAATCTATTTTTCTTGTATTAACACTTTGTACTATAGCCTCTTTGGCCCAATATTTAGCCAATATTAGGGGCTTTCCCAGGTTGTTTCCATTGGAAGGAGATACTAATTAAAAAAATCAGGAATTTATTTGGAGCACTGCTATTTATTGGTGAAGAATGTATACAAAGTCCAGTTTTCATGACCACAATAGGAACAGATGACTGAAGGCAGTTTCCTTGTTCAAAATATCCAATTATTGGGAACTAATGATCATATCCCAGAAAGTTAGGTTCAGGAATCAAAGCAAACAGAAAAACACCTGGAGAACACTGTATAATAAAAATTATTGAGTTACTAAGTAGACTACTTGGAAAGTATACTTATTTAGAGATAGATATATTTACCCTTGAACGTTTGTTTTATTTTCTGTAAGCTATTTGTATCTAGGGTTGAATTCAGACCACTAGGTTTGGGTTGACAGTACTGGCAGCAATATTTATCACCCTGGATCATGCTACCTCTGATTTTGTTATGGTCAAGTTCCCCATGAGAATTTAAATTAGTGCATGTTAAGACAACACATATAGGAGGATGCTGATACGTGGACTTCTTTAAAAAAATTGGCACACTGGTATTGTCAGATCATTACATATGATTTAATATCAAGTTCCTTTCCCTCAAGCTATTAACAATTATCTAATAAGGGGCATCCAGCTTATAGACTGTCATTTCTATTTGTTTGATGAGAACCTGCCTAATTGACCTCTGTACTAATGCTCAGAGACCTTTACTGATGTAAGATATGAAAAGGCTTATAGAAACATATTTTTATTAGCACCTAGGAACCCTAGGCATAGACTAAGATGCCACTGTGTTAAATGCTATAGAAAAGAGAGAAAAGAAACAAACCCCTGCCTTTAGGGAATTAACACATGTACAAAACAAGAAACAAATGGATACAGCGAGACAGAGAGTACAGGTAAACTAGGAGACTATATTAGTCAGCGGGACAAGCAGGTAGGGCCTAAAATCTGTGTATTCCCTCAACTAAATATTTTATATACATAGATGTTCCTCTTAATCATCTTAATATCTCATTTGGGTCAAATTCACAGGAACCCAACAATAGTTTACAAATGCAACCAAATTAAAATTTCCATCAAAATTCTGGAAACAAATTAGCTAGCCAGTGAGTGCAAAGAAGAAATGAACCCTACAAAACTCTAAGGTTATATCTACAGTGTAGGCTTCTTGCGCAAGAACAGCCGTTCTTGTGCAAAAACTTGCAGAGCATCCACACTACAAGCCCGTTTTTGCGTAAGAACGTTTACAGTAGATCGTTGGAAGAGAGGGCTTTTTGTGCAAGAGTTATGCCTCTCCCCGCAAGGAATAAGCCTTTGTGCAAAAAGGCTAGTGTGGACGGCAACAGGGGTTTCTTGTGCAAGAAACCCTTATGGCTAAAATGGCCATCAGAGCTTTCTTGTGCAAGAGAGCGTCCACACTGCCATGGATGCTCTTGCGCAAAAGCACATGGCAGTGTGGACCCGCTCTTTCGCAAGAAGCCTGCAGCGTAGACATACCCTAAGGCTATGTCTACACTCGCAGCTTGTTGCGCAAGTCCAGCCGTTCTTGCGTAAGAATCTGCAGAGCGTCCACACTGCCCGCCTGCTCTTGCGCAAGGAAATTTACAGTACAGCGTGGTAAGAGATGGCTCCTTGTGCAAGAGTTACACTCTTTTTTTATCAGGTGTAAGCCCTCTTGCGCAGGAGGGCAGTGTGGACGCTCGGCAAGGATTTCTTGTGCAAGAAAGCCCTACATTTAAAATAGCCATCAGAGCTTTCTTGTGCAAGAGAGCATCCACATTGCCATGGGAGTTCTTGCATAAAAGCACAGCGCGCACATCGCAGTGTGAACGTTTTCTTGCCCAAGAACCTTTGCACAAGATGTTCTTGCGCAAGAAGCCACCAGTGTAGACATAGCCTAAGTGTTTTAAGACATACAGCCTACATTTGTCTTTTCTGTCCCATCTCCCCTTCCTCGCTCTCAAGAGGAAGGCTGTTTATCTGCCATCTAGATGCACTACAAAACAGAATCATACTTTAGTTCAGCAAAATATTATACCAGCCAAACCTATCACTGATACTCTTGGACAGGAAACATATGCATGTTCACATCCTGGAACTAAACACTTTGCTAACTCAAAATAATCTTTTAATTCAACATTTGTATTACAAGCCAATAACTTTTTTCCCCTCTAGATTTCTGATGGGTGGGCTCATTTTCATTATAACATCAGTACAACCAAAGTAAACGGAATTTCCTGTGAAAGTGGTAGTTTTGGAAGACAGTTTCAGTTTACTGGCAACAGACTTCAGTTTTCCCCAGAACGAAATAATGAGCAAAAAGATGACCTGAATTGCTTTTTCCTTATATCAATATATAAGTGTGCATTGAATTCTTCAGTATCAGTTCAGAATTCTGTTGGGTAACACTTCTTCACTTCACTGGACTTGGCACATACAGTTGCAGAGTAGAAACTGTGCCCTTATTTTCAGTGTGAACAAGCTAAATTGTATAAAAAAGTTAATATACAATTGTAAATGCCATTAAAATAAATTACTTTAACATTAACATGTGTTCCAGCAATTACTCTGCAAAGCTTACAGTTTGTGTTGAGAACGTCTGATCCTTACAGAGTCCTAACCAAGGAAACAAAGAACAGCTTTAGAGCCATCAGTCTCAGCCTTCAGTCAATTAGCCAATCATATATCCTTTAAAGTTTTTATCTATCACTACTACTACTACACAGGGGTATATTTTAAATAATTAAAATAGTTTATCCCACCCTTGGTCTCTGCCCAACCGGAAGTAAAGGAACATCAATACCATCCACCCATAAAAAAAAAACCCCAAACAAGCTAATATTTAAGGGTATGTCTACACTACCACCCTAGTTCAAACTAGCGTGGTTAATGTAGTCAATTGAAGTTGCAAATGAAGCCCGGGATTTAAATATCCCAGGCTTCATTTGCATCTTGCCGGGTGCCGCCATTTTTAAATCCCCAGTAGTTCAGACTCCGTGCCCACGGCTACACGCAGCACGGAGTAGGTAGTTCGAATTAGGCTTTCTAATTCGAACTACCTCGTTCCACCTCGTTCCACAGAGTACGAACTACCAGGGATTTAAATCCCAGGCTTCATTTGCAACTTGGATTGACTACATTAACCACCCTAGTTCGAACTAGGGTGGTAGTGTACACATACCCTTAGTGTTTTCTCCACCTATCTCCAAGTGAGACTGAAATTCCGCATTCTGCCTCCACATGAAGGAATGCAAGATTAATATTAGTACTTGCAGACCCACATCACTCCAAGATTGCACAATCTAGAAATGAGTAAACACAGCTTACTTTTCCCAATCCTGAAAGAGACCCAGAACACTAAAGTAGTATTCCTTAAGGAACAATGAGAGTTCCAGCTCTAAATAGAGATGTAGGGGGAAAGTAGAAGAAAGAATCAGCTCTGCAGTCAGGGTGTGTCTAGACTACATGCCTCCTTCGACGGAGGCATGTAGATTAGCCAGATCG